AAAAAACCAAAGTGACAGTAGTTGAGGGTGATGGTGTAGGACCGGAAATTACGGACGCAGTAATGCAAATATTCGATATTGCCAGTGTGCCTATAGAATGGGAGAAAGTATCTGTTGCCCCAAAACTGGATGATAAAGGCAATATGGTGATACCCGCAGAAGCGTTGGAATCGTTTAAGAGAAATAAAATTGGTCTTAAGGGACCGCTTATGACGCCAGTCGGTAAAGGCTTCCGCTCCCTGAATATAACCTTACGTAAGGAATTTAATTTGTATGCCAATGTCAGGCCATGTAAGAATATTGAGGGTTGTTCGACCCCTTATAAAGACGTCGATATAGTTACCGTACGTGAAAATACCGAAGGCGAATATTCAGGTATAGAACATGAAATTGTTGACGGTGTTGTGCAATCAATTAAATTAATTACTAAAGACGCCTCAATGCGTGTATGCAAATACGCCTTCGAGTATGCGAAAAAGAATCGACGCAAAAAGGTGACGGTCGTGCATAAGGCCGACATAATGCACCTTTCGGACGGTTTATTTTTGAATAGTGCCAAAAAAGTTGCTAAACAATATCCGGACATCAAGTTCGACGATTTGAATTTAGCTACTCTTTGTCTCAATATTGTGCAAGACCCATCAGAGTTTGATGTTTTGGTTATGCCAAATTTATATGGCGACATTATTTCGGACACGTGTTCCGGTTTAATAGGTGGCTTAGGTTTAACCGCTTCCGTCAATATGGGGGATGAGGTGGCAATTTTTGAAGCCGTACATGGAACTGCTCCAGATATAGCTGGCAAAGATATGGCAAATCCGACGGCTCTGCTTTTATCCGCCTTAATGATGCTCGAACATATGGGCTTAGAGGATATGCATAAACAAATAAGCTCAGCAGTTTATGCCGTACTTAAAGAGGGTAAAGTGCGAACAAAAGACTTGGGTGGCGTATCAACATGCTCGGAATATACAGAAGAGATTTGTACCAAACTTGTGGCTACCTAATCATCATCATAGCATATTTCAACATGTAATAGCATGTTATATAAATTTGAATAAAAGAGATCATATAAATATAAACCATTGTCTTATATAATTTGAAGATCTGCCAAAGTCGGAATACTTCGAGGCACACGAAACTATTTGAATATATTAAATGCTTATTCGGTAATGATATCTAAATAATTGGACGGAAAGGAAAACTTGTGGAATGGACAATTTTAAATCGTCGAAGTCTCTCGTTGTTTTTCCGTTTGATGAACTAAATCGTTGAGCGATATGGTCCATATGTCCGGCTTGGAGATAATTAAGGAACTTGGCCTTTGCCTAAAATTTTTACTATATCCTGCAACACTTCTAGCACAAGATATATTATATTTTTGAGGATGACAGACATATACATATACACTATAGTATAGTAGCGATTGATTCAAAATCATTTTCTTAATCAATCTAAACTTGTCTGTCTGTCTTTCTGTCTGTCTGTCTGTCTTTCTGTCATTTAAGGCTTTATGAACAGATATATTAAGAGTAGTAGAGTTGGGTACTTCATGACCGGTGGTGAACGATTATTATTTTTTAAGATAAATAAAAAAATATTTGGGAAAAAAGGAGGAAGATTTATCTAAGCTGGAAGAAATGCAACTCTTCTGACAAGAATTTCTACAAAAATAATTAGATTTTTTTTTTAATAAGAGCCTATGATGTAAATAACGGCCGTTCTCAAGATGGCATAATATATAAATAGGGGAATAAGCATTTCTTTCAACTTATCTGCTATCACACCTTGCTTCTACTTCTTTGAGGTGAGGCAACAATCGATCAAAAAGACGATGATGATTTTACTTGGTATGAAGTCATTGACTTGAGAGATAATTAAAGAAACGGAACGAGTATTACGTACTTCGTAAGAGGTAAGAGGTTTTTAATGAAATGTTTCCAGTTTGCCAAGTAATTTATAAGTTTCGGATTTTTTTAGAAATTTATTTTGCGCTCTGTACGTTTGTAATTTGCCTATAGGTGATGAAGATATCTCGCTTATAATATATGGATCATTTGGTCATAATCTCCTCATGGACATGCCACTGCAACATATATGAAGAGAAACTGCCGCGATTTACTTGCGTTTGGAAGTGTTCTTACTTTGTGCTTTAGACATGAGAGGTAGCGGGCACATCACTCTAATGGCTTCAAAAAGGATTTTATTCGACAATTTTTTTCTTTTTTTGATGAAAGGAAAGGTAGCACAATAATAAAATTTGCAGAAGATGTTAAGTATACTTAGAAAAAATGGCAAAAACTCTGTCATTCTCTAGACACATCCGTTACCTAAGGCACTCTGCGGCCAGTAGCGTAACTGGTTCACATTCGAATAATAAAAAAAATGGCTTAGTCCGCATCCCTACATCTTATAAAACTGGTGCGGATTTTTGAAAATATTGTCTTTCTATGTCGTTCTTGGTTGTTTAAGGGACGATATAAAACATTAAAAACAAAAATTGATTTTTTGAAAAATTTTGAATGGTCTCCCATTTATCTCCTTCAAAATACGAATCTTAATAACTTGAGTGAATGCATAAAAATCCTAAAGAATTCTATCAAATATAGTGAACATATTTAGTTCAATTTAGGAGTTATACGAATCTTTAACGATTAAGAGTTAGTTTAAATAAGACATAGGCAAAGAGTTCGCATGTTATAGAGAACAGCTTTTATAGAGGTTAAAGAAACAGATATTGATATTAAATCATAGATACAATGTAGATTTTTGGAAAGACACTTAAATGGGTTGAAAAGCTTGTACTTTCGTCTGCATTGACTGAGTTTTATAACAATAAACTTTTTAGCAGAACGCTTAGGAACATTGATCTTTGTCTCAACTAATAGTGCCGGTGAGTCATCAGTACCAGTTAACTATGAACGAAAGATCGAGAGGAAACAAGAACAATCTATTTTCATAAGTAGGCAACGGGAAGCTTATACGTTTCAATCATTCCCTATGTAATTCATTCAGGTTTTCTTAGAAATTGCCTCAAAATCTTATACTCATTACGAGTTCCCCGATGTGGACGGACGTAAGATGGAAGAGGCGCCATAGATTCTCGAAAAAGAAAGAACTGCATGGGAAAGAACTTGAAGATGACAGCGTCACTACGAATCCTTAACGTTTGCCATCTGCTATCCATTATACGCTTTATGTCTTTAATATCACAAATGTAGAGAAGATAGAGAATAATTAGCTTTTTCTGTCGAAGAGAAAGATACTTAAATGTGAATAGATTTAATCTAATTTGAATTTTAATCCAAAAAAAAAAATATGCAAGAATGTCAAGAACATTCTTAAGGGATTTATATGCATGCGTTTGATATTCTGCTCTGTCTTAGACAGAGGGAGAATAAAATGAATAAATTCCCTCAACCCCGTTCACAAAAATAGGTAAACAAATAAGTCGGTCAGTAGAACCGAATTTTTAGAGTTCATTTCCATGCAATTTATTTGCTCAATTTCATTCATTCATTATCTCCTTTTCTAAGGGTAACGTTAATATTCATAGTTTTTTTCGGCTGCATATTTACAGTGAGTGCAACCAGCATTTCATTCAACAACGTTCACTATGAAAATTACAAATGTATGCATAAAAGTAAATAAAAGCAAACGACTATGTTATCGTTATACACCGCATGTATAGGAGTGTGTGTGCGTGTGTGCTTGTGTACGTATGTACGTACGTAAGTGTTTTTTTTTTTTTTGTTTTTTTTTGTGTTTATCCGCTTTTCCAGTTGTGAGATAAATACAAACATACACAGCATTGAGTCCTTTTTGGTACTCTCTTTCTCTCACTCTACCATTTTCTCTCCTTCTCTTTTGGTCCTCGCTAGCATCTTAAATATGGAAAAACGCCTTAATCAGTTTGAAACGAGATATGAAACCAAGCACTCGAATTGCATGTGCGTTGGTGTAAATAAAAAAATTGTTTGTTATACATTTACAACAAGCATTTTTTAGCAAAATTTCTACATAAATTCAAAAAATTATAGAAAAGTAAAAAACTTTTAAAAGCGGTTTGGCGTGCGCATCGAATTACGATTCATTTCGATTATAATAAATAGCCAAACATTTCGGAAACTCAAGTGTTAATAATTATGTCAAACTATTCCGTGTAAACGTAACAAAGTAATCAAGTCATGTTAACGTATATAGGTACGCGGAGGCATGCTTGCTATCGCCTTGCAATGCTCCCCGTGAAAATGATAGAAAATCAATTATGCATGCGGGTACATATACATCTATAAGGCTATAAACGATCAAAAGGATATATATAACAAAGGGATACAAGAAGAACGCGTTTTGTTTTATCACAAAATCAATTCATCAAAAAAAAAAAATTTTTTTTCTATTCTCAAAAGCTTCATATGTAAATATTATTAACATACAAACGCTGCTTAGTTTTCTTTGAAGATAATCGCAACTACTTGTATACATAACATCATCTATAACAGCTAGTGCGGTGTGTATGTATGCAGATTTATGAAATTGAGTTAAGTGTATAGCTGCTGTTAACGAGAAGAGAGAACGAAATAAAAAAAAAATTGAGAAAAGCACAAAAAAAAAAATAATAATATAATAAAAATTCTCACAAATACTTATACAAATGTATACAGCATCCACTACGATTTTGTAGAACACGGCGATGTACACTAAGACTGTAAAGCATAGTTTAGGGAGCGGCATTTTATATGAAACGTCGTGCAGTTAACTCATACTCATACTCGGATACTGTGTGTGTGTGTGTGTGTTTTTTTTTTGCTGGGAGAGTAGCGCTCTTCCAGCGCTCTCGGTTTGATTAACACAAAACGAATTAGTGCGAGTCGTTTCCTTCCTTTTTCTACGTCTGCATAGAGTTACATGCATCGATAACGAAATGAGAATATGCAGCGGATTCTATTCATTAATCATTTAGCTTGCGTTTGGATGTGTCGTTATGTGTGGTCATAATGTTGGGTGATGTTGTGATTATTATACTATACTGAGTTTATGTTCGCCTTTGTGTGAGTGCGTGTTACGTATATATATATATATGTATATATATAAGTATATATATATATATATATATATATATATATATACATGAAATAATCAAACAACAAAACAACGTTGTCACCTGGTTATCAGGGTAAGTACGCCACCAAAAAAGAAAACGAGAAAATAAGTAAAAAAAAAACAAGCAAGTCTTTGTAATACATGTGTTGGTAGATTAAATAATTCAAAAATTCCTTTTCATTACATCCTACACAAAAGGTCAGGGTATATTAAGTTTTTCGAGGATGTACGCAACACCTAGCAAGACTTGAGGTAAAACATTCTCTTATATCGATCTCTATACGAATCGGCTCAGGATCGTTTTATTAAACGATTTAAGAGTAGCCGTCCGTCTGTTTGCTAATGTCTATGTATGAATTTTTGGCATTCAAACTGGAATTTTCGGGACATATTACGAAAATTTTTTATGCTAACATATTTTGCGTTAAGTAGAAGCTCTTTGGAAAATACATAGAATTGGAACACTTGCGTTAAAAACTTGTTAGCAATTCCTAATATCTCACGACAACAAAAAAAGGGGTCGAATTTTTAGTGTTCTCTGCTAGAAATTAGCCCAAAATAATTATATCGCGGATATATTTGATCTTATCAGATTTGTCTGCTAGGCTAGGCTAGGCTAGGCTCATACACCAGCAAATGGCAATAATACTGCTTACTTCAAGAATTCTGCTCCATATGGAGATAGGCGGATGTCGGATAGCCTTTACGAACGACAGATCATCTGCTATAATAACATTGTTGGATTTGTTTTTGCGAGCAACATTTGTGCCTTGAAGAATGGCTTGACATTCGGTAGTCAAAAGTGTTATCACTACTTTTGTAAAATATAAAAAAATGGTAACAACGAACATTCCCGCGAGCCACTGTCGATTTGATGGGCTTTGCTGCACTTAGTGTAACTCATCTAAATTTGAATTTAAAAAAAAAAGAACAAGTGAGAAAGAGTTAAAAAACGGCGAAAATTATTTGATTTACATATATTGTAATATTAGCGTGGGCGACCTTCTTTGCTTTCTAGAATAACACTGGAAATTTATATCGTGTATCTCTTGTACTTTAGGAGTGACGAGCAAAAAACATGGAAAGCAAAGGTCCTCCTTATTGCCTA